CTGCACCATGTGTTATTTTTTGAGGTAAGTCAGTCTTTTTGTTAACTTTATATATTTTTGTTATAACATTTACTGCTTTGTGGTTAAACTTACAAAGACATGATTTAAGTTTTATATGTCTATGCAGATATTGTCATGCAAGTTGTTAGTGCTCATGATTTAGCTGCAAGCTGTAGGGTAAACTAGTTCATGGCTACAATAGTCTGGGTTAGTTGTAACAACAAAGGAAATATCTAGCTGTATTTATATATTATCTTTGAATTTCAATTAAATTTTATTTATATAGCGCCAAATCACAACAACATTTGTCTCACAGCACGTCATAAGAGAGCAGGTCTAGACCGTACTGATGTTGTCAGATTTGTGTGGTGAAGAAGGTTGGAGGACCCAAACGCAGGACACAGAGCGGAGCAGGTATAGTTTGGTGGTTTTAATAAAACAAAAGGCAAACACACTTACAAACAGAGTGGCTGATTGACTGACTGAGTCCAAAAACAAAGGGTCCAACAGAAATCCAACAAACAAAATCCAATAACGGCAGGGAGACACGACAAGCGATGCTGACGACACGAAACACACTGCTACACAGGGTGACAGCATACAATGACCCAACAAAGACAAGACAGAAACACCAGGTATATATACACAGGGACTAACGAGCAGGGCGGGAGCAACACAGGTGAAAGACATGAGGCTAATGAGGCACAGGTAGGGAGAGAGAGAGCGGGGAAAACAGAGACAGACACACAGAGGGATCACTGGGGTAACAGACATGACAAGGGTTACCAAACACTAGACGACAGACAAGGCAGAACCCCAAAACCCAACAGACCAAAATAACGCTAACTAAACACAAAAGTGCAAAACACGGCATGGCAGACAGGCAGAGTGTGACAATGTTATTTACAGAAGCCCAACAATTCCCACCAAGAGCAAGCACTAGGCGACAGAGGCAAGGAAAAACTTCCTTTTAAGAGGCAGAAACCTCGATCATCTGCCTCGACCGGTTGGGGGTGAAGGGGGGAGAGAGAAAGAGAGAGAGAGAGAGAGAGAGAGAGAGAGAGGCAGCCTACACAATATAGACACACAGAGGTACAGACAGTAAAGGTGATGTTGCTATTGACTAAATGAAAAATGGTACAGATATTTATAGTAACATTTATGATAATAATCGTAATGTTAATGATAACAATAATAACAATAAGACTAGCAACAATAGTCGTTGCAGCGAGGGGTCGAGCAGGAACACGGGGGCAGCAGGTGACCCGCAACCACAGATCTAGACTCCACAGCTCCAGAGCCAGAAACACCTGCAGGAAGTGATAGGAGGAGAGAGGAGAGGGACGAGAAAGCACAAGACTACCAGAAAGGGGAGAAGTTGTGTTTGTAACATGCAATAATGGGATGAGGTTGCATACAGACGGAGAGAAAGTAGAGGAGAGAGGAGCTCAGTGCATCATGGGAAATCCCCCGGCAGTCTAGGCCTATAGCAGCATAACTAAGGGATGGTTCAGGACTACCTGAGCCAGCCCTAACTATAAGCTTTATCAAAGAGGAAAGTCTTAAGCCTACTCTTAAAGGTGGAGATGGTGTCTGCCTCCTGAACCCAAACTGGAACCTGGTTCCACAGGAGAGGAGCTTGATAGCTGAACGCTCAGGCTCCTAGTCTACTTTTGGAGACTCTAGGAACCACAAATTTCAGTAGTCGGACACACCACACACCGTAATGTTTAAATTTCATTATTATGATTAAGTGTTAGTATAAGACCTGTAGGATTATCTGTGTGTCATGAAGCCTGCACTCCAGTTTATATGTCTATCACCACTGTGACAATGCAAGACAAACAAGCACAAACACACGCTGTCTGTGATACTTGACACACACACACACACGCGCGCGTGCGTGCCTGATTTCTGGTTAATGGAGAGGGGAGGAGCAACACTGATCTTGTGATCCAGGTGAGAACAGGGAGGGAACCTGAAAGTTCAGTCAGTTCAGGCTCCAGTTTGAGTCGACAGAGCAGAAGGAGCAAACCTGAAGGCTGAGGCAGGGTGAGTGTTAATCCAACATTTTTATTATTTTACTGTCAAAGTCTCTGAGTCAGTTTCTCCCTGTGGACTGTAGAGGAAAGAAATGTTAGAGTGAACTCAACACTTTGATTCATCTGTGGACACAAAGTTGTGATTGGCTGAAAAACACATTAAACCTAAAACAAGCACAGATTTAAAGAAAAGAGAGCAGGTGGAGTTCTGACTGTTTTTTTTAAACTGTTTATATATATGTGTGCGTGTGTGTGTGTGTGTTATTTCCTCTTCTCTCAGTCTTGTTTGTGACTCTTGAACAAACTTGTTCTTCTTGATCCTTGTGAGCTCACAGTCAGTGTCACTGTTTTACCTCTCAGACTGCCTGAAGTCCAGAAGATGAGGGTTTGTGTGGAGGAAGAGGAGGACAGAGCAGAGTCTCCAGGATCCAGCTGTCTGTCTATGAAGAGTGACCGGTCCAAAGCTGATCCTCTATTATTCAGTAATGAACCTGGACCCTCAGACACAAAGTAAGAGTCTGTTGAGGATGAAGACAACAATGTTCTGCTAAAAAAATTATATTCATGTTGCAGAACTATTAGTGCAGATACTTTTTCAAACTAAGATAGATCTGATTTGTTTGTGCGGCAAAACACCTGAGAACCTCCATTTCAGAATTTACACTTCAAGAAAATAATAATATATTTTGCCTTCATGTTGACGTCACTGTAAAGATTTAGAACGATTCAGAATCTGAAAGAATCTGTTTCAAATGTGCAATTCTCTTTTTACAGACCAGCTGTTATGATCCACCAAATGCATCTTGAATCAGTTCATATTATAATTTTTCAACATGTGCTAAAAAAGAATTTGTAGAAAAGCTTTGCTCACCTTGATTCTTGAGTCTAATCTTTAGCTGACTACATATTTAAAATATGTTCCATGGTTAGTAGAGAGTGACAGAAGTCATAATGAGAATGACATACAAGAAAGGAAACTATCGGGACTTGAATCTGTTACACCACTGTTACATGCTATGTGTCTTAAACTGCTGGTCTACCCCGATTATTTAGACCACTTCTAACCTCAGTTCAAAGCTAACTCAAGTTGAAATGAAAGGAACAATCATCTTCACTGAACACTTTAACTGTTCTTCTACACAGTGTCGGACAAATGTGGATATTTTTCAACAACAAGCAACAAATCAGTCATGTTTGAGTCATGTTTCTGTGGAGGAGCAGACGTCTTTCTCTACTTTGTGTCAGGACGTCCTGAAGGATCCAGTCTCTACCAGCTGTGGACACTGGTTCTGCAGACAGTGCATCACCTCATACTGGGACCAGTCTGCTTCACCAGGAGACTCCTCCTGTCCCCAGTGTGGAGAAAGATCCAGAACAAGAGCTGGACTGCAGACAGCCGGTCAGATCAACACTGTACAAAGTAAGACTGGACATCTTAAAAATGTAACCTGCTACATTTCATTATGTTTGTTAACAGAATTACTATAAGTGGATTCAACCATGTGTATACAACCCAAAAATGTCAAGAACCATGCAAGTACATGAACATCAAATAAACTGAAAGGTTTTAAGTTCTATATTTAGTTTTTGAGTTTAAGGCTGAAGATGTGCACAGTTTATGCTAAAGCATAAAGTTTTTGTTGAGTGGTAGCTGTAGGGAGTGAGTAGAAAGCCGATTGGCAGTAGTGGAGCGAAGTGAACAGACTGGAGTGTTTGGTTTGACCATGTCCTGGATGTAAGATGAGCCGTAACCATTCGCACCATGGCAGGCAAGTGCCGGTGTCTTAAATCAGAACGAAGTCACTGGTAGTCAGTGCAGGGTTCAGAAGAAAAGACCATCTGAGCTGCTGCATTCTGGATGACCTGCAGAGGACTGATGGCACATGAGGCATACCAGCCATTTGTAAGTTGCAGGAGCCTAGGCATGAAAAGAGCCTCCTGGGTGAGGCACTGGCTCTGACCAGCTTCAAAAACCCTGACTGAACTAGAACTTTACAGAGGCCAACCTGAGATGGTCTCCTCCCTCAAACCAAAGCCACATCTAGAGCTAAACTGATTGGATCAACAAGTGTCTGTGCTGCTGACCAGAGAGAGAGCTCTCTTATATTTTCTCTTTATCCCACCATAGAAAATAATTGGGTTTTTTTTTTGTAGCAATTGGGGAAAGAGTTTGAATTTCTTTGTGCAACCCTGTGTTGTAGAATAAAAAATAAATGAACCTTGTATCTGTCAGTACTTTTGTACTTTCTAACTGAATCTCTGTGGTTTGGATTTTACTCTTTGTCCTGTGATCCTATTTGAAGGCTAAGAGGTCAGCTTTCTCCTGTTTACTGTTACTTTGGTTACGTCAGAGCTTTGTACATTTGCTGCTGAAGTTGACTTGACATTTCCTGCTGCTGCTTCACATAAAGTTTTACATCGGCAAACCAGCAGGAGGCTTTTATTGTGAAGCATCTACAAAACATTGGGTTTATTTGTCACAGAGATTTGAAGTGTGCTATTGAATAAAAACAGTTCTACGGAGCAACACATATTCTGTATTATTTGTTTGGTGGATCAGTTTTAAATAGCACAAGAATGAAAGAACAGCTACAGTGAACTTTTCATATCAATATCAAACTGAGCCTGTTGCCTCTGCTGTCAATCAAAACATACACCAACACACAGTCAGAGGCTGAGATTGATCATTTTATTGGTCATAAAAATAATCACCAGATTGTCAAATTGACTTTGTTTTGTCTCAAACTTTTTTTCTCTGTTTCAGTCAGTGGTGGTCTGCAGGAAGTTTTAGATGAACATAAGATCAGTCTGAGGAGGAGATGTGAATGTGTGACTGAAGGAAGTGATGAAACAGGAAGTGGAACCCTCCTCAACAGGATCTACACTGAGCTCTACATCACAGAAGGACAGAGTGAAGAGGTTAATACCCAACATGAGGTGAGGCAGCTTGAGAGCTTACAAGATGGAGAACCTCCATGAAACTCCAATCAAGTGCCACGACATCTTTAAAGCCTTACCTGACCAACGAAGACCCATCAGAGTGGTTCTGACCAACGGAGTCGCTGGTGTTGGAAAAACCTTCTCAGTGCAGAAGTTCACTCTGGACTGGGCAGAGGGCTTGGAAAACCAAGATGTCAGTCTGGTGATTCTGCTTTCGTTCAGAGAGCTGAACTTGATCAAAGATGAGCAGTACAGTCTTCTCACGCTGCTCCATGTTTTCCATCAAACATTTCAGAAGGTCCCAGCAGAGAAGCTCGCTGTCTGTAAACTGTTGGTCATCTTTGACGGCCTGGATGAAAGCAGACTTTCACTGGATTTCAAGAACAAGAAGGTTGTGTCTGATGTCACACAGAAGTCATCAGTCAACCTGCTGCTGACAAACCTCATCAACGGGAATCTGCTTCCCTCGGCTCTCGTCTGGATAACTTCCCGACCTGCAGCAGCCAATCATTGTCTTGACAGGGTAACAGAAGTACGAGGCTTTACTGACGCCCAGAAGGTGGAGTACTTTAGGTGGAGATTCAGTGATGAAGAGCTGTCCAGCAGAATCATCTCACACATCAAGGAGCCTCCACATCATGTGTCTAATCCCAGTCTTCTGCTGGATCACTGCTACAGTTCTGCACTGGGTTGCACCAACTATGTGTAAGTTCAAACTTAGCCTAGTTTGAATGTAACTTAAGTCGGGGTTTACGTCCTACTAACGTTTTAAGGGTTGCACCAGCTGAAATACGTCAGCTCATTTCGGTTAATGAAGCAAAATGCAGATCACAGACTGGTTAAGTTATGAAGGTATGAATTGAAAATGTAGCGAAATTAAGAGTAGATTACTAGCCCAAATGGATTAAAGAGTAAAAATATAAAATAAAGGAACGTGAAAAGGCAATGACTTCCATCCATCCATCCATCGTCAACCGCTTATCCTGTACAGGGTTCGCGGGGGGCTGGAGCTGACATCGGGCGAAAGGCAGGGAGGCAATGACTTACTTTTATTTATTTATTTTTGCAAATTTGCGTTACTTGTAACAAGTTACTACCCAGCCTGCTGCAGGCGCCCTCACTGATCTCCTTCCTCTTCAGGAAGGTTGTAATAACAGTAGCACAGAAGAAAAGTCTGTAATATTGAGGCACTTAGCTGCTTTCAGCAAACTTGTTTCTTGTCCCTTAACTTTTAAAGGGACGTAATTTTCTGCGACACTGTTTTGATTAGTATGGACTTTATGCCAGAGTAGCACCTTACGTCTTGGTGGTGCAAACAAACATCAACACAGCTTAAGTCGCAAACTAACTAGTTTCAACGTATTGTTTAGTGTGGACTTTGCACCCTAACTTAAGGTAGAACTTGCGTATCACTGGTGCAACAGGCTGCTGGAGCACATGTTGACTACAGACCAGAGAGGAGAGATGCCCTAGACACTGGTTGACCTGTACTCACACTTCCTGCTGGTTCAGACAAAGAGGAAGAAGCAGAAGTACGATGAGGGACATGAGACAAGTCCACAGGAACTGATGAAGGCTGACAAGAAGGTTCTTCTAAAGCTGGGGAGGCTGGCGAACATCATGTTCTACCAAGATGACCTGGAGCAGTGTAGCAGTGTGGTCTTGATGTTATAGAGGTCTCGGTGGACTCAGGAGGTCTCGGTGTACTCAGAGATCTTCAAAAGAGAGAGTGTGATCCTTCTTCCAGAAAATCTGAACATTCAGGAGTTTCTGGCTGCAGTCTACATGTTAGGAACAGGAACACACAGGTGCTGGAGGACTTCCTGGGAAAAAACATTCTGATTCAACCCTGGATGTCTTCCTGATGGGAGCAATGATGAAATCCCATGAAAGTAAAAATGGCCACATCGACCTGTTTGTTCGCTTCTTTTACGGCCTCTCTCTGGAGTCCAATCAGAGACTCTTAAGAGGCCTGCTGGGTCGGACAGACAACAGTCCAAAAATCACCCAGTAAGCCATCAACAACCTGAAGAGGATGAACACAAAAGGAAAGCAAAACACTCACCGTCAGCCGGGCTGTCCCCACAACACTTTCTTTTCTTTTTGGTACCTTGATTTCCCTTTCTTTCGGATAGACATGACTGTCACAAGACAAGCCGTTACACTCCTTGATTAGACGTTTAGAGATGAAATCCTAGTGCGGCCGATTTAGTCAGCTAATTTTAAGTTATGAAACTACTTGCTTAGCAATAAAACATTCCAGGATTTTCAAGAGCCCTGGGTCATCAGACCTAAATCATAGCTGTTTCGAAACACTGCTCAGCAAGCAACAAAACACCAGTGCCACGTGACTATGGTTAAGCAAAGCTTCAGTGTGTTTCTCCCCAGCCTTGTCAGTGAGACCCATATTATTCAAAGTGCAAATGCTGATGCCATTGCAGAGGTTAAAAATTTGAGACAGATGCTTTTCTTCCAAGGACAGTCGCACCTGAAGGCCTAGGCCTATTTGGCATAAAAGTGCCTACTTATGTATGCCAGCAACAGACACCCTGGCTGTTTCTCAATCTGCGTTCTTGTCTGTACTTGTGTTCTTGTGGACTTGTGAAACATCATAAGTCGCAGCCAAAGTACTGTTCCAATTCAAAAGTCTGCATCTAGTGTGTTCTAATGTGTTCTCGCTCCGCCCGTTTTCCCGTGCCTGCATCAGTGGTGACTTGTGTGGACTTCGGATCGCCAAATAACCCACAATGCATTTCGCCGCCAAAAGCGGAAATGTCGGATGAGAAAACTCTGTAACTTATAATACTGCTGTTCTTGTGTCACATATATATTTATTATTATTATATTATTATTATTATTTATTATTATCACGTATTTTAAAAATTGCTACGATGTTTTCGGAGATGTGAGGTCCCGCCCGCTAATGGGTCCGGCCGTCATCAAGTCCGCTGCTGTTCCAAATGCTGAATGACTGACTGTGAGCTCCCGATCCTGGGAGTTTGTACTCCCGAGCCAAACATGCCAAGTCTGAGCTTTAAAGTACAGAAGTCCGAACTATGCGAACTACGTATTGAGACACCAAAAGCGCTAGTAGCTAGCCAGGTAGCTAGGTAGCTATGTTAGTATAAAAGGCATTGACAGCTTCCCAAAGCACCTTACCATTACCCTAACTATCAGGGTGTGTGCCTAAACCTAAATCAGCGATTGTATGCATGTTGACCAGCTAACCTGACGGCCAATGTGCACAGCTATAGCGTTAGCCTTGAGTCTGAGGTGCTACTTTGTTAGATTGTTGTCAAATCAGAAAAAACTGTACTGTTAAAGAAGGTTTTTCATATCTTAAGTATATTCCTATTACATCATAGTGAAAGTTTAATCTCCAGTAATTAAAAACATTTTGTATATTGACTTGAAAGATTTTTGGATCATTTTGAATTGGCAGATTTGACTGAAAGAACCACTTTTGTGCATGTGCAGAACAGATCTGGCAGGCGGTACGGATTTGACACCAGGGATGGGCTGTGTCCGAAATACCCCCAACACCCCACTACCGAAAACCCCCTCTACTCACTATATTGGACTATAAGTGAGCTCGCCATTTTGTAGTGCTGTCTGAATGTATAGTGATAATTATATACCCTATAAAGTCCACTCAATGTATCCCAGAATGCATTTTGAAAAGTAGTGTACAATCGATGGTCACTAAACATCATGCATTGCGCGACAGAAAAACTGATCGGAGTAGTGTCCGAAAGTATTGTTTTAATACTGCGAGTGAGCTCACTATGTAGTCCTCTACATACAACTCCATACATAAGGGTATAGGGAGAAATGAATGAGAGGGGATTTAGGACACAACCACTGACAACTGCTTCGTAAGCTTTTCCACGCGGTTGGAGATTATCCACTGTGCATGCAAAACAGAATTGACAGCACCAAATAAAGAAAAATAAAGAAATGTAAATTTACTTATTAGTTCGTTTTGTTTCCTTGTTTATAATATTTCCCGTCTTGAGCATAAAGCAAGGAAACAAACATCAGCTTTCATATTTGGTACATACAGACTAACAGAAAAACAAAATATGATTTGTTTTTTCTTTTATCAGATTAAATGGAATAACTGAATGATCGGATGATACACGGACTCAAAAGCCAACATGTGTGCACCAGTTTTCAGATCACCCTTAACAAGCTTTCAAACCCGAAAAACAAACTAATGCACTGGGAGAACAGTGACAAATTTGAAACTGAAACATTGTTTGCGCAACATTGTAAAAAAAAGAAACAAAAGAGTGTGTGTATAAAGAAGGAAAACTCAAATACAAAATAAAGTTTGCAGAGAACAGTTTGCAAACCTTCAAAACTTGGTTTTAGGTCTTGCAAAACTTTTTTGTTAGATTTTGAGTTTTCAAACACTTAGTTTCAACCTTTCAGAACTTTGTTTTTAGTTTTGATATATTCATCCCATGCAATGGCGATACTTTACCGCTGGGAGGCTGAAACACTCTTGAGACTGCCGGGAAAAAGAAGAAAGAAGAAGAAGAAGGGCTGATGGGAAATCTTGCTTGTCAACTTCCAGTGAACTGATGAACTGTTGTTCACTTCTTCCTAGTTACACAGTTCATAGGTCCCTTTGTACTGAACAAAGTTGGGAATCTCAGTTAATGGATGAATACCTGTGCAGTCCACTTAGCAGCGAACTTCTGGGCGATCTGAACGCACACTGTTGTTTCGTTGGCGCCCCGTCAATGAGCTCGAGCTTGATAACCAGCTGATGTTGTGGACAAACTCAGCGGCCATTCACAGAGAGAAGCAGCGTCAGACAGTGAATCACAAGTGTTGCAGGTTTGTGAGTGCGCAGTTGTTATACTTGAGTCAAGTGACTGTATTGTTCTGCATGCACCTCGCGGCTGGTACAAAAATATATATAGCTCGAATCATTTATCACTATTAACAACTATACATTATCTCTAATAAATGTTTTAAATACACATATCGTGTCATGTAGAAAAACGATTCAGCCTTTTAAGTAGATTACCCATCCACATCTTGTAAACACACGACTCCAAAGACGAATCAGAAAGGTATGTTTTGACTTTTTAATGAACAACAACAGAAAGAGGCTTTTCGTGGGGACAGCTACGTTTTTCTTCCTGTTTTAAACAGCTGTCGTATCTACGACAACCACGGACGCATTTGGCTGACGGCCACCAGTTAACAGGGCCACTCGGCAAAACTCTGCGTAACAGCTGTTCGCTAGTTAGATGTTAGGTGAAAATCATTTAGCTTCCGATAGACGTGATTCGGAAAAAATACTCAGGCGACAAGCGGTGTCACGAAAGAAATGCGTCTGATAGATAGACAGCAGGTGATGCTCCCACCGGAAGAACCACACGTCCTCGTTTTAAAGTCACTTTCTTTCCTGTTACCATACTGGCATCGTGAGCGCGCTCCGTTTGTCAGTTACAAAATCGTCTAGTTTTTGCTGAAAGTGAGTAAAAACATTCTTTAAACTGTAATAGACATTTAGCTTAATTGCTAAACTACAAGTGAATGATATTTCAATGAATTTGAATAACGTCATTGACCAAGAATGTAAATAAGCAGCCAGCAGTGTGTCATAGCCATGCAGTAGGATAACACCTTTTGCTTTCACTTCTGTGGAGACCAAAGGACGAAATAAAGCGACGACTTTCGATTTTGAAATGACCAGTGTTCACGTATTATTGAACCTATAAACAACTTTCTATCTGTACAGTTGGTTTTAACATTTAACCCATGTTGACAGTTTTGCTCACATACCTACGTTAGAGAGGGGCAGATGACTCTAAAGTTTGTTTCCCTCCTGTACATTATTGTGCCTGAGTTTATATGAAATGATTATTTCAGGGCACTGTTTTTTCACACAGATGAGTCAGCTAGGGAAGAGGATGGACAGGTATTACAGCTATATATATATGAGAGAGAGAGATTCAAAATAGTTATTGTCATGGTTGATGTCATTTAATAATTATAAATTATAATATTTAACAACTATAAAGTATTAATTATTAATAATTATTTTTATATAGAGAGGTGGCGACACTTGTCTTTGATTCTTATTGTGATAAGTTATTGTCGCGGGTCCTGCTACTACAGCCGCCATAACAGAGACCAGTGATTATAGATTGTGTGATTGCAACGCTGCTGAATAAATGACCACCCTACTAAATTTCACATGCTGTTTAAATCCATGCGCAACCAATGAGTTTCTGTGCGAGCACGGAAACACTCAATGCTTGGCGAGATCTCTGTGTGTCCTTTGTGCATGCAAGCAAATGAGAGAGAGATAGAGGCAGGCAGAAAGTGGTGAAACAGCTGAGGAAATATATATAAGTGGTTAGTGCTAGTAAACATTTCCCCAGTACAGCACATTTTTTAACATTTTTAAGTGTTGATTTGAGAAGCTAAACTGATCAACAACTTAATGTCGGCTCCTGCCTGCTTGGTCTAAACTTTTTTTATCATTTAACAAACAAAAAAATGTTCCAAACATTTCTAAATGAACTTAGAAACACAAAAGAAATATAAATTTGCCATTATAAACAGAACTGAACTGTTTTAATGGCTGCAGTAGGCTAAAGGCTATATTGGGGAGGAGGAAAAAACACGGCCTCCGGTTGGGCTCGGGCTGGGCGCTCTGATAAGCTGTCGGACATGGGCCGGGCTAGGGCTGGGCGTCTCGGGCCACGGCCAGGCTAGGGCCCAGATCTGAGGCCCGTGCAGGGCTCTAGTGTGTGTTACTTTCGTTCTCTCTTCTGTTAATCTCTGTCTTGTTTTTTTCAACCAACTTGTTGTTGTTGTTCTTGTGTTCTGAACTCACTGTCAATGTTACTGTTTTACCTCTCAGACTGACTGACGTCCAGATGATAAGTGTTTGTATGGAGGAAGAGGAGGACAGAGCAGATTCTGCAGCATCCAGCTGTCTGTCTATGAAGAGTGACCAGTCGAAAAATATTCCTCTAGCCTTCAGTAATGAACATGCACCCTCAGACACAAAGTAAGAGACTGTTTATATTGTAAACTGACCTGACGGAAGATGATGCATTGAGGATGAACTCAAAATGCTAAAGATTATATTATGTGCAGAACTATTAGTGCAGATACTGTTTCAAACTGACATAGATCTTATTTTATTTCCGCAGCAAAACACCTGAGAACCTCCATTTCAAGTAAATATTCATATTTTGCCCTCATGTTGACGTCAAAGTAAAGATATTCAAATCTGAAAGATGTTATTCATTTTCTTGTTCCCAAATATTTAGTTGTTGTGCATTCCCAGATCAGCTATTATAATCCACCAGATGTTATTGATGATATCAATATTGTTCAACATGTGGTGAAAAAGCATTTATAGAAAAGCTTTGCTCTCCTTGACTCTGTGTGTTGATGGTTTGAGTTTAATCTTTAATTGACTACTTGTTTAAGAAAATGATCCATGGTTAGTAGAGAGTGACAGAAGAAATAAAGGTAATTACTATCTGTCTGTTTGGAAGCAGAAAAGTAACGACACTTTTACTGTTCTCTGTGACCGTCTGAGCTTCTACACGGTGTCGGATATTTTTCAACAACAAGCAACAAATCATTTTATTTCTAATGAAATGTCTTCACAGAGAGAGGAAGAGGAGTCATGTTTATGTGGAGGAGGAGCCGTCCTGCTGTGCTTTGTGTCAGGACGTCCTGAAGGATCCAGTCTCTACCAGCTGTGGACACTGGTTCTGCAGACAGTGCATCACCTCATACTGGGACCAGTCTGCTTCATCAGGAGTCTCCTTCTGTCCCCAGTGTGAAGAAAGATCCAGAACAAGAGCTGGACTGCAGAAAGGCAGTCATAGCAGCTCTGTACAAAGTAAGATTGGATATCTTAAAAATGTAACCTGCTACATTTCATTACATTAGTTTGTTTAGAGACTTAAAGGCTTGGGTGATCTTCTCTATTTTTATATCGTCTGATCATGGCTACTTGTGATCATCCATTGGCGATCTGATCGCGGGGGGCGGTGTTATGTTGCAACATGCCAGTGAAATGCCAGCATGAAAGAAATAGGCTCATTAGCTTTAAGAGAAAACACCAGAAACATCTGTAAATGCACAGTGCAGTGTTTCCCACAGAATTATTGTGTAATAGGCAGAGGTGGGACCAAGTCAACGTTTTACAAGTCCAAGTCAAGTCTTAAGTCTTAGCACTCAAGTTCCAAGTCGAGTCCCAAGTCCAGACCAATCATGAGTGCCAAGTCTGAGTCAAGTCTCAAGTCAAGTCCAAGTCTTAAACTTTGAGTTTCGAGTCCTAAACAAGTCATAATGCTCTCTTCATCAAATTTAAAACACATTTCAAAGTTTTTTTCAAGTTAAAAATAAAACACTGTATTGAATGAAACATTAGCCTGTACAGAAAGAAGGCAGAGGTGCAGTTTCACACAACAATTTCATGAATTAAATTAAATGTTCATGTAGGGCTGCTAATTATTTCGGTCAATATTGAGATCACAATTATTTAACAGGATATCTTGCCTTAGGAAACATTAACTTTTGAAATGTAATGGTTTCTTTTTAAAAACTAGGCTATATATGCATTACTCAAAAATCCCAAATAGCCCTGAAATAAACAATAATCCAACATTATTAACTTTAGGCAGCATGTAGTGTGAAAGAGGACGACAGCAGCACAGTTTCCCCAAGTTGACAGCTTTGGGTGACGGATGAGTCACTGAGTCTACTTTCGTGCACACCGCGGTCAAAGTTTGTATATACACACGCAGTGCTTAAAGTTCTCCGGCATAGCGCCGGAATTCCGACGCGGGACTGTTTTTATATTCGACAATACATAATTATTTCTGTGGCAAATATTCTTGCGTATTTTTTAACAGTCGTGTGATATGTGTGTGAAGGCCAGTCCTCAGCACAATCTCTGTCGGTGTATGCACAAAAGAAGGGACTGGCACTTTGTGACTACGTGGACACATCGAATTTTCTATTTGGTCAATTAAGGTGTCTCAAAGGTCAAAGTGTACCGTTTTTTTTTGTTTGTTTGTT